GTGGGAGGGACGAGGACAGAGAAGGAGAAATGCAGTGAGCGCCCCTCCCTCCACCTGCACGCTCGTCCCCTTAGCATTCGCACTCGGAATATGACCCCGTCATCCCCGCCGTTGCGGTGCGGAATGCGCCACCTGCTCTGCCCCACTCTGCTCGGTTGCAATGCAAGCATATGGCTGACAATGGCGAAAATACAACCGATGACGAGCGAGCGTCGCATCCCCGTCGGCTTCTTCTGTGCTGGTGGGTGTGCGTGCCCGGATTTGGTGATCCGATTTCAGTTCTCCGGTTCCCCGCCGTCGCAGGCTTGAAATCACCTGGGATGGCGCACCACGCGCCAATCAAGGCATCCATCGTAGTACTACCTCCTCCGCCTCTTGCCACCCGCCAACCCCGTCACGCCGCCGACGCCGACGGCCGTCCTCCTCTCCTTCGTCGCCTCCCTACCCGAGGCCTCCCAGCGAGTCCTCCTGCTGTCTTGGCAAACCAACACCAGCTCTGCCTCCACCCACACTCAGCACTGCGCGTTCCGTGGCGTCACGTGCACCGCCGCCGGCGCGGTCGCCGCGCTGAACCTCTCCGGGCTGGGCCTGCCGGGTGCGCTCGCGGCGTCCGCGCCGCGCCTCTGCGCGCTCCCCACGACCATCTCCTCGCTCGACCTCAGCGGGAACGGCTTCGCGGGCCCCGTCCCGGCCGCGCTCGCCGTGTGCTCCGGCGTGGCCACCCTCCTCCTGGCGCGCAACCGCCTGACAGGAGACGTGCCCTTGGAGCTGCTCTCCTCCCGCCAGCTACGGAAGCTGGACCTCGGCGGCAACGCGCTCGCCGGAGAGATCCCGACGCCTGCCACCGCCGGCGCGTCCGTCCTCGAGCACCTGGACCTGAGCAACAACTCCCTCTCGGGCACCATCCCGCCGGAGCTGCTGGCCGCGCTCCCGGGCATCAGGGTGCTGAACCTCAGCACCAACGCGCTCTCGCGACCGTTGCCCGAGTTCCCGGCCCACTGCCGGCTCACCTACCTCGCCGTCGACAGCAACAGCATCACCGGGGAGCTCCCCCGGAGCCTTTGTTGGAGCCGTGACCGCCCTAGCTCACCTCTCTGTCTCTCTACTGAACTATCTCTCTCGTTGGCACACACTGGAGAAGAGAAAAAGAGGAAGAACGAGAAGCACACAGTAGACACAGCAAGGTATCCCGGCGCACGAACGCCGCCGCCGCAACAACGGCTGCTTTACTCAAGCCACCAGCTACAACACGCAGGGTCGGGGGTTTATACATGCGCGCACCAACGCCCACGTCGCGCTCCCGACGCAGCCCCACTGCCCACTCGCCACGCCCCGCGCTCCACAGCTCCCGCGCCCGCCGCGCACGCACGCAAACGAGACGCGACCGGGTCCTGCGCCCGGCGCGGTCACACCCGCGCGCGTCTCGCCAACCAACCGACACACGCGCACATATACGTGCTGTCACACACACACACCCGTGCACTCCCGCCACGGACCCGATGCAGCTCAGTCTGCACCCGACGCGTCCGGTGCGCGCACGCACACGCACGCGACGTGGTCGCCACCGTGAAGGGCACGGCTTATTCCTGACAGCCTTGCCAACTGCGGCAACCTCACCGACATCATCCTATCCTACAACAAGATCGGCGGCACGGTGCCGGATTTCTTCGCGTCCCTGTCAAGGCTGCAGCAGCTGTTCCTCGACGACAACAGCTTCGATGGGGAGCTGCCGGCGAGCATCGGCGAGCTCTTCGACCTGGAAAGCCTGGCGGTATGGAAGAACGGGATGGCCGGACCTGTTCCGGAGGCAATCGGGAGATGCCACTCCTTGAGGATGCTGTATCTGAACGGCAACCGGTTCAACGGCTCGGTTCCACGGTTCGTCGGGAACCTGAGCAGGCTACAGAGGTTCTCCATGGCAGACAACGCCATCGCCGGAACAATCCCACCAGAAATCGGGAATGCCGGGAGCTGGTGGAGCTCCAGCTGCAGAATAACAGCCTCTCCGGGACGATCCCGCCGGAGTTCTGCGAGCTCGGCCGTCTGCGGAAGCTGGCCCCTGTTCAAGAACACGCTCCATGGGACAGTACCTCCGGCATTGTGGGAAATGCCGGACATGGAGGAGCTGCAGCTCTACAACAACAGCCTGAGCGGAGAAGTTCCTGCCGGGATCACCCAGGCGAGGAAGCTCAGAGAGCTCATCCAGGCGTACAACAACTTCACCGGCGAGGTCCCAGGAGCGCTGGGACTGAACACTACCCATGGGCTCGTTCGTGTCGACCTGACCGGCAACCGCTTCCACGGCGCGATCCCGCCGGGTGTCTGTACCGGTGGCCGGCTCGCCGTGCTTGTCGTTGGACACAACCAGTTCAGTGGGGGCATTCCCGGCGAGATAGCTGAATGTCAGTCCCTCTGGAGGGTCAGGCTCAACGACAACCAGTTCAGTGGTAGCTTGTTATTGCCTGAAGATATGGGCACGAACACAGGGTGGTCATTTGTGGACCTGAGTGGCAACCAGTTTGATGGGAGGATACCGAGTGTGCTCGGCTCATGGTTTTGGGTACCGGGCGGTAAATTCGGTTACCGCCCGGTTACCGCGTTTCCCGCTCCCCCACGAGAATCATGTATATTGAGCAAAAAAATTCAAACTTTTTGAATTTTTTGAATTTAAACTTCTATCGGCTTGTTAAATAAGGTATATCTCTTGCTGGAACACAAGCATATTTGCGTCCCAGTGGTAGGGATCTCCAACCAGCAACTGCTGGTCTTGTGTTTGAGGACTGTCAGTTGCACTTAAAATATGGGCGTGCGAGGGTCGAACTAGCGACCTGCATGTGCTAACAGTAGTGTCAATTATTTATTGTGCTCAAGTCTTATCTATTCTTGTCTTAAAAAAATTTGAATTCAAATTTTGATTTTAAATTTCGCTTGAAATTTTTCCGGAATTTCGTGGATACCGTGGTAACCGGGTTTACCGCCCCCCCTCAGAAAAATGGTCCATTCGGAATCCAAAACCTTGGCTCGGCTCATGGCGCAACTTCACCATGCTTGATCTGTCCGGCAACAACTTCGCCGGCCCGATAACGCACGGGCTCGGAGCTCTCAGCATGATCGGGACTCTGCGATTGTCAGCGAACCAGCTCACCGGACTGATACCGCTAGAGCTTAAGAACTGCAAGAGGCTCTTCTATTTGGACCTTGGAAGTAACCTCCTGAATGGAAGCATACCTGCAGAGGTTGCACTTGCAACACTTGATAGCCTGCAATATCTTCTGCTCGGTGGCAACAAGCTCACCGGAACAATTCCGGACTCCTTCACTGCAACACAGGGCCTTCTTGAGCTGGGCCTTGGTGGCAACTCTTTGGAAGGTGTCATCCCAAGCAGCTTAGGCAACCTTCAGTACATTTCCAGGAATCTGAACCTTAGCGACAACAGACTGAGTGGCCAGATCCCAAGTAGTCTTGGCAACCTTTGGAGCTTGGAGGTGTTCGACTTGTCGGTAAACTCGTTGTCCGGTCTGATTCCGTCGCAGCTTTCCAGCATGATCTCACTCTCTACAGTGAATGTTTCTTTCAATGAGCTCTCCGGCCAGCTCCCTGCTGGCAACTGGGCTAAGCTCGCCGACGAGTCTCCCGACGATTTTCGCGGGAACGCTCAGTTGTGCACACATCCTGGCAATGACGCTTGCTCAAGAGATCAGTCTCGGAAAACCCGAAGGAGGAACGCACAAGTCATTGTGGCATTGTTGTTGTCACGTTCACAGTGATGGTTGCCACGTTGTGTGCTATCCACTACATTGTGAAGAGGTTGAAGCGCCTATCGGCGAAAAGTGGCTCGGTGCGCAACCTCGACTCAACAGAGGAGCTGCCAGAGGATCTGACCTACGAAGACATCCTCCGGGCCACCGACAACTTGAGCAAAAGTACGTCATCGGCAAAGGCCGGCACACGTCTACAAGACACAGTTTGCGGTCGGAAAATAGTGGGCTGTCAAGACGGTCGGCCTGTCACGGTGCGGGTTCCCCATTGAGATGAAGATACTCAACACAGTGAGGCACCGGAACATCGTCGGTTATTGCATTCGAAGAAATGTCGGCATGATCCTATATGATTACATACTGGAGGGGCCTCTGTTCAAGCTGCTGCATGAGAGGACGCCCCAGGTGGCTCTTGACTGGACGGCCCGGCATGTCATCGCCCTCGGCACCGCGGAAGGCCAGTTAGTACCCAAGATAACAGACTTTGGGATGGGGAAAATCGTCGGCGATGAGGATGCTGATGCGACGGTGTCTGTCGTCGTTGGCACCCTCAGCTACATTGCTTCAGGTAAACTCACAAATATTCAGGACACACATTTCTAGACAATGAAGCATTTTATTGCTCCAAACCTCTGCACCAACCTATTATGTTACATATGTTGTCATTGAATTTCATCGAAATCTCACTGAAACTGAAAACCATTGCCATTCACATGGACTGCAAACACTTCAGGCCTGCTTTATATAGAAAGCCCAACAGTCGACAACATCCTGCTGCAATTATCAGCTAGCTACATAGTGAAAGAAAAAAAACAAAGCCACTTAATGCTGATATCACCTGTGATTGCAATCGCAATCAGTCCCGCATTTCTGCAAAAAGGCCTGTAGAATGTACATATGGGGTCTGTGATTGCATTACCTGAACTTACAATACTTGAACCAAAATGTCCACGATAAACAGAGCAGCTAATAACAACTCATTTCAAGTTATCCAAAAACACAATACTGGAAAGATTCAGGCAAGAATGTTCATGTTGATATTACACATCCAGACACAGACTTCACATGCTGCTGATATTACACATCCAGACACAGACTTCAGAGATATATTACTGCAAGAATGCTGATATTACACATCAAGACACAGAAGTCTTCAGAGATTCAGGCAAGAATATTCATGCTGATATTACACATGCCAATAGGGAGCCATGTTGATATTACACATCAAGACACTGATTGCTACTACGGAAACTCACTTACTTCAATACATATGCAAGCCTTAATCGATGGAACAACAGGCCATTCAACCTCTACTATTTTCCTATCAAGTAGAAGGTACTGATCTACATGCAACCTGTGTCCTCCAAGCTTCAAGTTGCCTTTGACATGTATACGACGTCCGACGGGAAGACCCAAAACATGTCTAAGTAAAGGGACTTCAAATTTTTTCTGACCGACAGGATATAGAAGGACTCGACTTTTCAAGATTGTGAACTTAGTGTCATACCCTTCAACGTATAGCGTAAGCATACCTCGGAGGTTAAACTGCTCCTCATTCAAGGGACCATCAAAACCTAACCTAACTGTACATCTAAGAGCATTGGTGAATGTAATGGAGGAGAGGTTTATGAAGCCACCTCTTATGGAGGTTAAGCTGCAACGTGGACTATCCATATAATCGTCATCCAAACAGAGGGTTGTCTCAAATATTGCATCAGAGAATTCAGAATCTTCCAACCCCAAAGATGACTCAATAGGCACATTGATCTCAAAAATCCAACAACCTGCACCAGCAGTCATAGGACGATTCGGTCCTCTCAGAATAAGAGAATCCTGCATGTATATATTGTAAACAAATGAGCAAAGAATACACCAAAATAGCTAAAAGAAAAACATGATTAATTTATGAATAAATATCATACGGTGAAATCAGCTGCGATTTTTCCGGTATGCTTTGACAGCCACTTAGAGCGCCGACGAATAAACTTTTCCTTATTTCCTTCATTTGACTCGTATACTAGAGTACCACCCTGATCGTCATAAAGTACAATGGTACTTATCAAGCTTAAGTTGGTCTCAATAGAAAAAATTTCGAAAAGGGTCTCGCCAGTATAAATTGGTGTTGATGGGATAGGTATGCTGGTCACATAATCCTCAATTGAACTCCCAGCAACAGGGCCAGATGAAGTTTCATGTGCTAATGACATCACCTGACCCAAACCAGTACCATGTGCCTGCTGCACACTTCTTCTACTGATGATTGGAAGTTCAAGACCACTTTTTGTGAGGCTCTGGCTGATCATAGGCTGAAGAAAATTCTTGCCAACGATCAATCCTGTTAGGAAAGCCATATGGACTTTGCTAGTCTCAGTTATCTCCGGTCTGCAATCATCATAATTTAACTTTTGGCAATGCAAACAATAAGGATGGCAATGCAAATGCATAGAAATGATTATTTGAATAAAGCATCTTAGTTATACATTACAAATGGAAAATAAACGCATTTTTAATTTAAAAGATGTGACTACTGCATCACTCCATCAAGGCATGGAAAGAAATATAGGTAGAAGGGTATATCAACGAAAAAGTCCTAGGTTTCGTTCTAATAAAAAAAAGATACCTTTATAGTGTTATGTAATGGAAGGAGAAATTAAACTCGAGGATGTGTCCCAGAATTACCTTTTGGGTTCTTTCACTTGTTTTAGCTTGTCAATCCAGTTTTGTATATCTTTACATGTTAGGGAAGGAGGAACTTCATATATTGAGATTGACCCCTGCTCTTTCAGCCTGTTGTCAAGCCAGCTGCATGCTTGCACAGCTTCGGTCTGCATGAGAAATAAAAATAAGTGTAGCCCCACATATCTAAACATGAATATTCACAAATACATCTAGACATTGGATCATACGCACTTAGTAATAACGATCCAGTACTGGATAGACAGGGAACAGTACAGCACATACTTGTATATATATAATAGGATGGAGCAAATATATTGCAATTTGCAATCATAAAATAAACATCTATAGCAGTATGCTAACAAAATCCATAATTATACTTCAAAAAACTCGCATTACCTTACTTTTTGTGTCGACAAATGAGTCAGCTGAGTCAATCTGAGAGATTTCACGTATCAACCTTCGCAGCGTCTTCACGAGATCATCTCTCTCGAATGCATGTTTCCGTGCAATGATTCTTTTGGTTACCTACATCAAGAAACATCAGTGATTCAATCCATTTGCAATGTAACCAACAACATAACAGAAAAGACTGCATCTCGTACCGTCTGCAGTTCTTCAGTCAATTCCCTGTAGTACTCTGCTGGTGGTTCAGCACAATCAGTAGGAGCATTCAGCCTCTTTTCAATTATAGATATAAGAATCCAGTCTTCAGAATCTGTAGTGAGCTCATCTTTATATTTTTCAGGCTTAGCTTTGTATTTTTCGCGCTCATCTCTGAGTTTCTCGCATACAGCACTGAACAATCTTCTACACGATTCACCTGGGTCCTTCTCTTTCTTCGCCTACAGCAAAAAAGATAGACGTTGTCAGTCAAAAAAAAATGTTCAAAAGCAAGCAATGAGACTGATGAGACAATGCAACAATATAATTACAGTAGTTAGCTATTCAAGGACTATGACTGATCCACTGCATGCTCCTGTAATAGACATTATATACAGGTAAAGAACTAATTAATTCGTCATACTGCAGCTGCTTCAGGGTCGACCCAAAGCCTCAAAGGGCCGGTAGCTAGCAGGTGGTTCTTTTTAAAACCCTGATGGTCAGGGTGAGTGTGCTCCTCCACCCGCCAAGAGATGTAGCTGCTTTTGCACTTCTAGGTTCAGCAGCGGTACAGGCACAGGGACACGGAAGGAGCACCGCCTCCAATGGGTTTTCGTGTGAAGGCCCAAATACAAAAACTCTAGAAATTGTATCCCCAAAATTTTGGAGCTCAAAAGTTGAAATGAAACAAGGTGAAGACTCACCTTGCTGCCGTCGTGTGTGGCCATCGTACCATGTCCTGCGAGCAGACTCTTGCCGTCGTGTGAAGATGAAATAACACTTGCAGTCAGATGCTTATCAGACGCAGTTGCAGGAGAAATTTGTTTATTCACATTAGTATTCTCAATGGTAGACAGACTTTTTTGAGGTAAATCAGAAGGGTCAGAAATCCTAAATTAGAACAGTGTCAAAACAAGGAAAAACAAAATGTCAGTATATAGGAAATGCAGTACAAAAGTAAACAGTCTTTTCATCTAACTATGGCACTCCCAAGTTTCAACAAAAAAACTACCTGGCAAGATAATAAATCATTAGTTTCCCTTCACTAGCCAAACAAAGTAGGAGATGTTGAGGGGCAACCTCCTTCTGTTCAGGTCCAACCAGTACTGTGATCTTCTCAAATAACGAAACATTCTCCACACCAAACCCCAATAAAACATTGCCATCACCATTTTCTGAAAGCCAAAAGGAGTATATTATTTTCAAAACAATGAATAGGGTATTTTATTGTGGTTTTCTGAGTTATGTCAAACCTTGCAGATCAATCCTAGGGCTATAGTTATCCTCCACCATTTTGAGATATACCACAGTTCTTTCCTCATCAGTTCTAGATGGCCATTTCAAAAGAGAAATGTGATCATCAGTGCTTTTTTTATTTGTAACAACCAGGAGATCCCTGTCAAATTACACAAATATATCAGACATGACAACAGTAACAAGATAATGACAGAATCCATCTTGCAAATACCCTTTTCAAATATTTTATCTATCTGTATGGTAATATGGTGCACTCTGTTAAATAATTATTCCCGACATAGAGACTTCCCTTACAGTATTTATGGGGAAAACAATTTTTTCCAAACACCACCATGCACACAAAGTACATGAAATAAACAATAGCTAGATTATAGAAGTATTATTGAATAAAGAATGTTGAGTCCGGTTTTGCATACCAGCGATGCAGATAGCCCAATAGCAGATTTGGTCCAACTCCAGATGGTAAAATATCATTCATTATACCTCTGAAAACATCATAGCTAAAAACAACTGGCTTGCTTGAGCTCTATAAGGCATTAAGAAAGCAACAACATTAACTTCAGCCAGTCAGTACAGAAATTCAGAAGTCAAAGGGGGCACAAACTAGAATATCTTAGTAAATATGTTTTGTTATACAATACAAAAGGGTCATCGCATATATCTGAGTTTTCCTTCGTAAGTTAAATATACGTGATCATATCCATTACAGAACCTAATAGGCAATAGCCCAATACATCTTGATTTTAGCATACATGTGGCATTCCTACATCTTTTCAGGATAAATTTATGCAAAACCAAATATCAGTTCAGCAATTTTGGATACATATATGTGCAAGTAGCTTACTAATGGACTCTGCTCCCAAGGAGTTACAAGTGACAACTGCCACTTCAAAAGATTAGTCTTCATGAAGAACAATCTACAAGTCAGTGACAATATTGATATTATTACCACAAGCCTCTTTGGCAGCGGGCACAGTATGGCCCAAAGGGAGCTTTCATTCCTAGATTTCAGCATAATTTGCCAACATGTGCAGAGTGAAAACACCATTTCTCACACAGACAACCAACAATAAAATGAAAATCAAGACTATCATTCAGATAATGGAGATACATCTGATTCATTAAGCTAATGGGTTACTGTCATAGATTATTACTCTAATAATATGTGGTTACTGTCATAGAAAATTTCAATCGTTACTAGCACTTTCGAATGTGAATCTAATGGGATCACTTTTCTGTCATATAAATTGTGTTTTGAAGGATAATACCATAAGTATTTGATTTACATTTCTTAAACACATACAACTATTGACCACACTTAGTCTTGTGTGCATAAATATGTTTTAAAATACATATCTGCCAAATTGAGGTAGCTTTACCGAAGAATGTTCCCAGAAAGAACATTTAGCAAATGACACATTCACCAAAGAAACACCATACAACAAAATGTGAATCAAAAGAGGAGAAGCAGCCAGAACTAGAAGAACAATTCACCTCAAAAAATGTATCTCCTCCGCTTCTTATAACTTGTACCAGATAACCCTCTTCATTGCTTTCTTCATTCAATCGAACACAACCGACAACAATGCTATCATCGCGAACCCACCCGATGGAATCCACTGATGAAATTTTGAAAATATAACATCAACAAAGAATCATGGTAACATCTACTACTAAACATGATTTGATGTATTGAGTGGTGTATCTGCAAGGACAAGAGTAAATAATACTAAATCGATGAATCTAATGATTGGAGAAGTAGAGTGTGCACCACAAAGGTCATGGGATGAATAAACCAAACTTCACTATATTGTTTCCTAATATCATCTCAAAATTTCCTACGGAACTTTGCATCTTTTTGATGGTTCTTCGATATATAATTTCAGAAGATGGCTATGATACAAATTTTAGCCTGTGGTGCACTTCACAAACATTTTTTACACCATGTTGTTCATCCTGCAATGTGATCATATTTGTGAGCTGTGTGTTGCTCGCTCATTTTGCACCTAAAAATAACCATGCTTACTAGCACGATCTACTACAGATTAAAAATCAATTTACAAGGAAAAGAACATTATCGTGAGTCAACTCTCAGGGTAGCAACATAATCATATTTATGAAACTGCATTATGTTAGTGCCGGGATCAGCCACGAGGTCATCAGGCATAACTGCATATCCTTACAGAACTGGGGAAGGGGTGACTGTGTATACAGAAAATAACAGCAAGAAAATTGGAGCAACCCAACAATTCAATATATACCTGAGACGTATACCAAAAACCAAAAAGGGGACTCATTACCTTTGATGTCAGTGCCCTCTGAATCACTATCAGGCCACAACTGAAACAAGAGGGCCATGCAACATGTTTCCTTCAAATCTGGCGATAATATCCTGAGTGAATTCTTTCTTGCCACAGCAATATGGTTCCCGTCCTTGGAACAGTCAACTACATATATTTCAGAAAGATGGCAAACTTCAGCACAACCAAGACAATGATGAGTAACTTCAATTACAACACAAAAAGAAATGTCTTAGCAAGTTCTGAAGGACAACACATATCAGCCCCAAAGTGAGCCGGTGCCTGAAGATGGATGCTGCGCTGCACCCAAGACACATACTACATTTTGTACCAGCATTACTGTCATGCAGCCCTCTACCAATACTAATCAGGTTGATTTTGTAAAGCCTAAGCGTTACAAAGAATAATACCTTTATTTTATTTTATTTTTTTTTGGGGGGGGGGGGGTACCCAACAGGAGTGGTACATATTATAGCACTATTACATTAATTTCTTGTTGTATTGATCCTCAATAATGTAGCAGTCGAACAATTGACATGCTCTATGATATAAGTACTCATATGTCAAAATCAGTGGATTATTAAAAGCTAACCACTTGCTTTTCTAACAAACCAACTGACAGGTATCCTAGAGCATGATTTCTGGTCATATGGTAGAAGTTACATAAGTCGAAGAATGTTAACCCAGGAAAAGGGTAGGAAAAGAGACAAACCAGCATCAACATTTTCCATTATATCCTTCAGGCCTTGCCCCAAACTCCCATGAGATAGCAATCCACCATTCGAGAGTACAATATAGGCATTATCTAGCCATTTGAAATCTTTGACAGTGCCAAATCGTCCCATGCTACATGATGATGACGGCTTGATATCCTGTAGAGCAAAATTATTAGACAACGGTACTCATGGAAAAGGCAGCTACTGTTGAAAACAGTAAAACTACGATTTATTATACAGCAACCCAGACCATATCCAGCACCGGGATCAACAAGCACTCAACCAGGAATCGCCAAAGCATTAAAAAACTGATAAACACCGTCAACGCCATTAGCTCATTAGTCATTACTACCAGCTTGTTCTTACACAAATATCTAACTCGGAACATGCTGTGAAAAAATGCACTGCAACAGAACAGATAATCCCATTCTAATGTTCTATTGTGGTATTGTCCTGTTACGCTGCCCTGGGCTGACATTGCATTGTTCACACGATTTTGTGGGGAACTGGAAAAGATGGTCCAACCTTATCAGTGAGCAAGGAGGTAGCCGAGAAGAACTGGATCTCGCTGCCCGTGCAGGCAGCTAGCACGGACTGGTCGCCGGAGAGCGCTAGGAGAGTGACGCCGGGGAGGGGCACGTCGATGACGCAGCAGTCCTGGGCGCAGCGGGTGCTCGCCTTGCCCTTCTCCCTGGCCTCCTTGCTGGTCTCGATCAACGCATTCGTCCTCGCGGCGATAAACCCTGGAAACAGAGAGCGGGAAACCCTAGGCGGTGAGGTCGACAGGAATGCAGAGGCGGACGCTTGGCTTGGTCGGTGATTCGGGGCAGCTTACCGTCGGGGTGAGCGAGGAAGACGGCGGCGTGGCCGTCCGAGACAGCGAGCGGGCGCGCGGGAGGGGACTGGAGGTCGAAGAGGGGGAGCGGGGCGGAGGCGGGGGGCAGGACGGGGATGGGGTCGCCGACGAGGCAGAAGACGAAGTCGGTGGTGCCGTCCCTCTGGCCCTCGACCTCGTCGGAGAGGTCCAGCTCGCGGGGCGCCGCCATGGCCGGCGGTGGCGGCCGGGGCCTAGGGTTCGGGAAGTTAGGAGGAGGGGGGGCATCACGCGGCGGGCGGACGATTTTGCGCTGCGCCTCACATCTAAGTTGTCCGGCCCACGATCAAGATTCGTGCACAACAGTTTCGATCACGTTTGTTTGTCGCTGTGTCCCGTTTGGCAAAAATTCGTGTTTTGACCTTTTGGTCAAGTTTCGATCTGATCTTGGTTCGGACTTTTTTTTGAAATCTAACCCCTTTTTCTACTGGTAGGGGGCTCGGCGGTAGGCTGTTTCCACAACCTTTGGTGGTAAGAAACTAATCCACATCAGCACCCTAAATGGCCGTTGTTCCCCTCTGTCCCACCCTACCGCCACAGGTCCTAGCGGTAGCTTTTCTTACCCTACCGTCAAGGACCCCAACGGTAGGGTCTGGCCACTTAAGCTACGGGTCGGCCGCCTCACCCCCACCCAGCCGCCCGAAGAACTGTTTGTTCTTCTCTCTCGCCCCCTCTCTCATCTCCTCCACTCCCCTCCTCGGATCTTCTTCGTTTTTTCACCGTCTTGCGGATCGAGATGGCTCAGAAATAAGAAAAGTAAGCTCCTCCAATCCTTTCAATTAGTTTTAGTCAAATAGCTTCCCATTCATCGCATTATTTGATTCAAATCACCCCTATTTTTGAACTAGAATTTTTTTTTTGTACCATAGGATTGTTTTAGGTTGATTCTAGATGCTCTATTGTGTTGGATATGAACTCTAATCACTAGTTCAGATGGTAGTGTGAAGATGAACCCTAGTTCATTTTTTTGGAGGAATTTGTTTTGCTATGATGCATGTTGGAGGAATTTGTTTTGATATGATGCATGATGTATAGTGGATGTTGTTTGATGAAATATGCTTAAGATGAACCCTAGTTCATGTTTTTTGTTTTTGAAAAAAAAGATGGTATGATGCATGTTGGATGATTAACTCATATGTTTGTTTTGCTATGATGCATGTTGATATGATGTGATGCATGATGTATAGCGGATGTTGTTGAAGAAATTTATATGAATGAATTAATCATGTGGATGTTATATTTTTTATGTGTATGCTTATGCTTATAATGCTTATGTTTATGCATTAAGTATATCATCATGGTGATGTGGTTGAATATGATTTGTTAACTAGTTTGAAGAAGAACCTAGTTTGAAGGTGAACCTAGTTTGAATATAATATGATTGATGTTAGTTGAAAGGTTGAATAGGATATGATGATTATATGTTGATAACTAAATGTTGTTGTTTCAGGAGGCCCCGCTTTGGTCCGGCGGTCGGCACTAATTACACTATGCTTGACCCGGCATTCGATAACGGTCATCGCACACGTTACATCGAGAACGGAGTGGTAAATAACAATGATCAATGTCTTGCATCAAAATTTTGGCTTCCCAAAAGTTTGTTACTAACTATTTTCGTGTGCACATTGATAGATGCTTCTGAAGGAAATATGCCCTAGAGGCAATAATAAAGTTGTTATTTTATATTTCCTTATTCATGATAAAGGTTTATTATTCATGCTAGAATTGTATTGATCGGAAACTTAAATACATGTGTGAATACATAAACAAATACCGTGTCCCTAGTGAGCCTCTACTTGACTAGCTCGTTGATCAAAGATGGTTAAGGTTCCCTAACCATGGACATGAGTTGTCATTTGATAACGGGATCACATCATTAGGAGAATGATGTGATGGACAAGACCCATCTGTTAGCTTAGCATAATGATCGTTCAGTTTATTGCTACTGCTTTCATATATATAAAATACATATTCCTTTGACTATGAGATCATGCAACTCCCGGATACCGGAGGAATATCTTGTGTGCTATCAAATGTCACAACGTAACTGGGTGATTATAAAGATGCTCTACAGGTATCTCCGAAAGTGTTTTGTTGGGTTGGCATGAATCGAGATTAGGATTTGTTACTCCGAGTATTGGAGAGGTATCTTTGGGCCCTCTCGGTAATACACATCATAATAAGCCTTGCAAGCAAATGACTAATGAGTTAGTCACGGGATGATATATTATGGAACGAGTAAAGAGACTTGCCGGTAACGAGATTGAACTAGGTATGAAGATACCGACGATCGAATCTCGGGCAAGTAACATACTGATGGACAAAGGGAATAACGTATGTTGTCATAACGGTTCGACCGACAAAGATCTTCGTAGAATATGTAGGAGCCAATATGAGCATCCAGGTTCTGCTATTGGTTATTGATTGGAGAAGTGTCTCGGTCATGTCTACATAGTTCTTGAACCCGTAGGGTCCGCACGCTTAACGTTCGATGACGATTTAGTATTATATGAGTTACGGAGTCCCAGATGAGATCACGAACATGAAGAGGAGTCTCGAAATGTTCGAGATGTACAGATTGATATATAGGATGATAGTATTCGGGCACCGGAAGTGTTTCAGAATGTATCGGGTATTTATCGAAGTACCGGGGGGTTACCAAACCCCCGGGGGAAAGATATGGGCCATATGGGCCATAAGAGGGGAGCACACCAGCCCACAAGGGGTGGCGCGCCGCCCCTTAGGCAGGAGGCCAAATTGGAGAAGGAATAAAGGGGGTTCGCCCCCCCCTTTCCTTTCTCTCTTCCCCTTCCCTTTTCTCTCTGATGAAATATGGTAAGGGGGGCGAATCGCGGAGGAACCCCAAGTAGGATTCGGCCTACTTGGGGCGCCCCTTGGCTGTCTCTCCTCCCCTCCCACCTATATATATGTGGGGAGGAACCCCAAGTAGGATTATAACATGCCAATATTCTACAACTTTTACATACTTTTGACAACTTTTTATACTATTTTTTGGGACTAACATATTGATCCAGTGCCTAGTGTCAGTTCCTGTTAATTGCATGTTTTATGTTTCGCAGAAAATCCATATCAGACGGAGACCAAACGGGATAAAAACTTACGGAGATTATTTTTGAAATATATGTGATTTTTGGGAAAAACAATCAACGCGAGACGATGCCCGAGGGGCCCACAAGGACGAAGGGCGCGCCCGAGGGGGTAGGGCGCGCCGTAAGGCGGTTGGTGCTCTTCTTCTGGCGTAAGAAAGCAAATATCTGGATAAAAATCGTGTCAAAATTTTAGCCCAATCGAAGTTACGGATCTCCTGGAATTTAAGAAACGGTGAAAGGCCATGTAACAATCTGGATTTTGGCCATTTTCTGTTTCTTTTTGATTTATTGATTTTTGCTCTGTTTTTCTTTTTGGAGTGGTTCTGTGGCCTTGCCACCTGGGAAATCATCCTCATTCCCCCTCCCAAGTGTCTCATCATTTCCAAAACCTTACCAAGATCACGTCACTTCACTGCTTGACCAAACCCTAATTTCTTTTTTTCAGGAATATTCCTTTTTCTATTAAAGGAATAACCCCGTCTGCCCTAGGTTGTGAAGCAACCTATATTTCTGTCAATCCAAAAATTCCCAAAACAAATTCATAATTCTTTTGGGTCATATTTTGCTCAAATATGCCCAAACTTTCCTATCCTAGCCCAAGAATAATTCTCCAACAATTATTCTTCATTTCTGTCCAGAGTGGCACTTTGTGAAGGAAGTGTCATTTATCTTATTTTGTTTGCTCCCAAATTTGTTGGGCATTCTTTTATGTCCAAATAATTTCCTCATGCCAAAATTCAACTTTATTTGCCTAACCAATCTTCCTCAGTGATTTTTCAAACTTTCTGTCAGACAGAAGGCATTGTGAAGGAAGTACTAACTAGTGTTATCCAAATGAGTTGAAATTTTGCACACTCCTTCATGTGCTCATATTAGCAAACCCCTCCAAGTTTCAGCTCAATCCTATCATCTATGTGAGCACAGGACCAAATCTTTGACTCTGACAATATTTGCAAGTTGTGAAGCAAGTATATTTTATATTGCTTCGTTTTGGCTGAAAATTTACCAGAGCATTCTATTAGCCTTAAAACCTTTCTCCACCTATTTTGGGATCAATTAATTAAGCAAATATTCCTCTAGAATTTTTGCAAGTTTCTCGACAGAGAGAATAGCTGTGAAGGAAGTACCATTTTGGTGAATCCAATTGGTATGAAATTTTTACGCATCTTACTATGTCCAAATCTTTAAGCCTTGCCAAATTTCAGATCAAGTTGATACTCCATGTGAGTGAACCATCATGATCTTAATTCTGGACCATTTAGGCATGTTACAAAGCAACCATGTTGTTTTGTAGTCCACTTATCCTCAAACTCTCCAGGATTAGAGTCCTTCCTAAGATAATCACCCCAGACAAACTCTTTGGCTCCAATCATTTCCCTATTGATCACCAGTGCACGACCAAGTTTACTGCAGTAAACTTCAGACGGTGATTACCATTTAACCAGAGCATTTTTCATCGATCTACCACCATAGTTGAAACCTCCCCTGGAAGAACTTACCACTAGACAACAGGTTCCAGCCCATCGCCCTCGCTACATGCTAGTGCACGCGGTGACTGCATTAATGGCACCACAGTGCGCGTGCTCTGTGCGCAGTGGCCGCGTCCAGTGGCCGTTTGTGCTTCGGCACCTCCTCCTCTTGTCGCCTTCGCGCGCGTGATCATGTCCCTTGTCTTCCTCTCGTTGTCGCGTTCCCCTGGACAGCTCACCCCCTCCGGCAGCTTCCTCACCGACGCAAGCCGCCGCGCGCCCACGGGCGAACAGTGGCGGTTTGGCTCAGAGCTCGTCGTCTTCATCCTCCCTGCGCTCCCTTGGCCGCCTCTTCCCCGTGAGCTCTCCCTCCTATTCCCTCTCGTCGCCTACCTTCAAGCTCTCGAGCACGCACACGCGTCCGCGGCGACGGACACACATCCACGGCGGCGCCAACTCGGCCTCCTTGCCTCTCGCCTATATAAGCCCACCCCGAGGCCTCTCGACCTCACCATCGCCTTTGCCTCACTCCACTACCCCTCCCAAACCTCTTCCCCGAGCACCGGAGCCCCTCTGCTCGTCCTCCATCCGCC